TCTGTCTCAAAAAAAAAAAAGAGATGGAGTCTGGCTCTGTCGCCCAGGCTGTTGTGCAGTGGTGCGATCTTGGCTCACTGCAGTCTCCATCTCCTGGGTTCAAGCCATTCTCTTCCCTCAGCCTCCCAGGTAGCTGGAATTAAAGGTACACACCACCACTCCTGGCTAATTTTTTGTATTTTTAGTAGAGACAGGGTTTCACCATGTCAGTAAGGCTGATCTTGCATTCCCGACCTTAGAATCTGCTCGCCTAGGCCTCCCAAACTGCTGGGATTACAGATGTGAGCCACTGTGCCGGGCCAATTTATTTTATTTTTTATTTATTTTTTTTTATGAGACGGAGTCCTCTGGAGTGCAACGGAGCAATTTCGGCTCACTGCAACCTCTGACTCCCTGGTTTAAGCAATTCTCTTGCCTCAGCCTCCTGAGTAGCTGGGATTACAGGTCCCTGCCACAACACCTGGCTAATTTTTCTGCATTTTTAGTACAGACAGAGTTTTTACATGTTGGACAGGCTGGTCTGGAATTCCTGACCTCAGGTGATCCACCTGCCTCAGCATCTCAAAGTGCTGGAATTACAGACATGAGCCACTTCGCCCGGCCCCATTTTAAGGTGTTTGAGAAATCTCCACACAGTGCTCTTCACAGTGGCTGAACTAATTTGCATGTCCACCAACAGTGTGTAGCATTCACTTTTTCTCCGCAGCCTCACCATGTTATTTTTTGGTAATTTAATAATAGCCACTCTGACTGGTGTGAGAGGCATCTGTTTTGATTTGCATTTTGCTGATGATTGGTGATGTTGATCTTTTTTTTCCATGTTCGTTGTCTACTTATATGGCTTTTTTTGTGAAGCATCTGTTAAATCATTTTACATTTAGACAGAGTTGCTCTTGTTGCCCAGGCTGGAGTGCAGTGGCACAACCTTGGCTTACTGCAACTTCTACCTCCTGGGTTCAAGCAGTTCTTCTGTCTCAGCCTCAGTAGCTGGGATTACTGGCATGCCCTGCCATGCCTGGCTGATTAGTAGAGATGGGGTTTCACCATGTTGGTGAGGCTGGTCTCAAACTCCTGACTTCAGGTGGTCCGCCTACCTCTGCCTCCCAAAGTGCTGAGATTCCAGGTGTGAGCCACCGTGCCTAGCGTAATTTGCTTTTTTGAAAAGGGGCTGGGTCAGTGGCTCAAGCCTGTAATCCCAGCACCTTTGGTAGGCTGAGGTGGGCAGATCAGAAGGTCAGGAGTTGGCGACCAGCCTGGCCAACATGGTGAAACCCTATCTCTACTGAAAATACAAAAAATTAGCTGGACATAGTTGCACTCACCTGTAATCCCAGCTACGCAGGAGACTGAGGCAAGAGAATTGCTTGAACACAGGAGGCAGAGATTGCTGTGAGCTGAGATCGAGCCACTGCACTCCAGCCTGGGTAACAAGAGCGAGACTTTGTCTAAAAAAAAAAATAAAAAGTAAAAAGTGATACCCTTAATTTTTAGTCTGAATTATCTATGATGAACTATTAATTTAATCATGATTAAATAATTTCTATGATTTACTCAGTCTGGTAGAGCTTATTTGTAAGGTTTATGGGCTCAAAAAGTGGCTCAGTGGTAAAAATCACAATGGTGGTTACTTGTTTGAGGACATAGTATTGACTGGGAAGGATACAGCTTCTGCCTTCTGAGGTGACAGGAATGTTTTATATTTGACCTGGTGCATACATATGTATAAATGCATCAAGCTACGATGATTTGTGCACCTTTACTATATCATGTTATACCTCAGGTTTGTTTTAATAATATTTATGTGGAGAGAAGCCCACAAAATAGGAAAGCAAGTTGATAGCTCAACCTTTCTACTTCAGATTGTCCTTTTCATATATCAGCTTCAACACCTATTTATTCATTTATCTTATTATGTATGTATTTTTTTCAGACAGGGTCTCACTCTCTTGCCTAGGCTGGAATGCAGTGGTATGATCACAGCTCACTGTAGTCTCAGCCTCCTAAGCAGCTAGAACTACAGGCATATGCCACCACACTTAGCCCCCAAAATGTTTTTTAAATGGAATTTCCCTTTTTTTTTAAACCCCGTCAAATTTAACAATGAGGGGTATATGCACCTTTAGTGACACTAATGATAATAAGTTCTAATAACCCAGTAACATTGGGCCAGCCCAGTGTTCAACTTTGAATACTCTGACTTCCTATTACTGTGGTTTTCTTTATACTTAAGGAGGCCTACATTTAATATATGCCCAATACTGAAATGACCGACATTATGTAGTGGTTACCCCTTGTTCTGTGGGCTCTGTGCCCCCTGTAGCTGTTTCTTTGTTATTGGTGCCTTTCTTCTGGTTTTTATTTTATTTTATTGAAACGAGTCTCGATTTGTTGCCCAGTCTAGAGTGCAGTAGCACGATCTCTCACTGCAACCTCTGCCTCCCAAGTTCAAGCTGATTCTCCTGCCTCAGCCTCCTGAGTAGCTGGGACTACAGGTGTACATTACCATGCCCAGCTAATTTTTGTATTTTAGTAGAGATGGGGATTCACCATGTTGGCCAGGCTGGTCTTAAACTCCTGACCTCAGGTGATCCACCCATCTTACACAGTACTATGCCTTACTACACTATACTGCAGTCTCCTAAGTCTGCAATAGCATTATGTCTTAACAGTGTACATACCTTAATTTGAAAGTACTTCATTGTTTAAAAAAAAAAAAAAATGCTGACACAGGCACCAACTGAACACATGTTGGGAAAGTGGCACTAATTTAATCAACACAGGGTTGCTATGACCTTCAATTGGGGAAAAAAATATATCTATGACGCACAATAAAACGAGCTATGCCTGTACTTAGACTGAAATTTCTTGAGATACATACCATATATGCCTTGTTTTTTCATAGATTGTAGATGCTTGTGGGCTGTAGTTATGGAAAAATTAGTTTAATGTGGGATTTTTTTCTCCTTTACAATCTATCTTGAATTTTTATTTTTAGGTTTTTAGCCTGTGTGAAACATTTGCTTTTCAAAAGTTATTTTGAAGTTGAAAGTTATCTAATACGAAAAAAAGGAAGTTATCTAATATGACAGCCATATCACCCATGTATATCCTTGCTTTCTGAAAAGATGTTTGTCCTTCAAAGAATAACACTAGGCTGGGCGCCGTGGCTCTCTCTTGTAATCCCAGCATTTTGGGAGGCTGAAGTGGGTGGATTATTTGAGGTTAGGAGTTCAAGACCAGCCTGGCCAACATGATGAAACCCGTCTCTACTACTAATAACTCAAAAATTAGCTGCAGGCAATGGCGCATGCCTGCAGTTCCAGCTACTGGGGGGGCTGAGGCAGGAGAATTATTTGAACCCAGGAGGCGGAGGTTGCAGTGAAAAAGAATAACACTATATAGCAATGCGATTGACATATTTTTATTTATGAGTTACTAATGGATAAGATATTTGAGGCTCAGAGAAACTGAAGGCTTTCCCGGAATCATCACAGTAAGTAAGTAGCAGAGCCACTTAGGCCGGTATCTGACTCTTTCTTAGGAACTTGCAGTTGTATCATGCTGCCTTCTGTTATTCTTTGATCATTAACTATCTTGGTTTATATATTGCTTTGCCAAGATTTACATAATCACAAATTATATTGTCATACAAATGATACTTGGTAGAACTCTCTTAAGTGCATGTAGTAGTCAAGCGTGAATAAAAAATGTTTTCATCTAGTTGTTGCTTAACTTGTTTATTTCAACCAGGGACTTTGGTTGGCACATGTAAGTGGGGGTAGCAAAACGGAACTGGCTGCTGTGGCTCTGTTTTTCCTCATTGAAACACTGTAGGGAGAACATAAACGGCGTGATGGTATTTTCAGAACATTCATCCCAAACTAGAGCTTCAAACAAGCGGTGCAAGAAGGACACTTGGGTGTCTAGCACACTGTGTACTTGATATTCATTATCACAGTAACATTGGTTTTATTCAGCATATTTATTTGTACTTAAAAATTTGAAAACTTTATTAAGACCTGCTTTTGAAGTAGATTTCTAGTTTTCCTTAATTTCAAACAGTAATATAATACAGCCATCCCTCAGTATCTATGGGGAATTGGTTTCAGGACCTCCTTTGGATACCAAAATTCACAGATGCTGAAATCTCTGATACAGCATGGCTTAATGTTTGCACATAACCTATGCATATCTTCTCATACTTTAAAACATCCATCTAGATTATGTATAATACCTAATACAATGTAAATGTTTTATAAATAGACTATTGTTCAGGGAATAATGATGAGGGGAAAAGTCTGTACATGTTCAATATATGTGCAGTGTTTTTCTGAATGTTTTCAATCCATGGTTAGTTGAATTCATGGATGCGGAACTCACTGATATGGAAGGCTGACTGTCTTTCTTTTTAGGTATTTAACTACCTGGAGTCACAGGGGTAGGAAAGGACTTTAGTGCTAGCAAATCTCTAGATTACATCTAGCACATCTGCTAAGGAAAAAAAAATCCTTTCCTGTATTCTTGTACTCTGGGTAACATAGAGTAACTCTTTGTCCTCATTTGCAATTGATTTATTTACAGAATTTGGAGGTTTTGGTTCAGTTAGTGGAAAAATTGAAATAGAAATCAAGATCAACCATGAAGGAGAAGTAAACAGGGC